CGCGTTCACACAACATGCATACACAAACGCACAAACAAAACACACACGCACACACACACACACGCACACACATGACACACATAAACGCATGTCTTCTGTCACCGATGGGGAGAACGAGCCATGCGCGTGTGAGCTGGGAGTAGTAGAGGAGGCGGGCAGCGTATGCGCACAGGGCAAGGGAGACCGTGTAGATGGCACCACACTTGGCAATGAGCTCCCCGCTGAAGAAGAAGAACGGTATCTCAGACACAGTGGTGACGGCCAGCGTGAGGCCCATGAGTGTTGCCGGCGCATCAAGCTCTTGCAGATAGAGAAACAGAAACGCGTCGATGACGCCCTTGCCAATGCCCATGCTGACCACCATGAAGAAGAACAGCAGCGTGTACCGCTGGCCCAGCAGCGTGCGAAGGTACCCACGCGACGCCACATCTGCGGCTCCGCAGGGTGGGTTGGAGGCGGTGGTCGTGGATGGTGGCAGCAACTTGGCCTGCTCGTCTCCCGCACCGTCCATCCAATACGCTGTTGGTGCTGGTGGCTGCTGGTTGCCACTGTCTGCGCCATCATCCGCACACTGGATGCTTCCGTATGACAGCGCAGCGGCCCCGCCGCTACCGCCGTTGTTGCTGTTGTTGCCGCCACCGCCTAGGCGCCTGCCAGGTTGGCTATCATCGCGCCGACGGCCACCACCATGGCCATCATGTCCGACGCTCCCACTGCCGCTGTCGTCGCTGTTGTTGTTGTTGTTGTTGTTGTTGTTGTTGTTGTTGTTGTTGTTGTTGTTGTTGTTGTTGTTGTTGTTGTTGTTGTTGTTGTTGTTGTTGTTGTTGTCGCTCTCCTTGGTCGTGGCGCTGGTGTTGCGGTTGTACCTGAAGGGGAGGATGGCGATGAGGGCGACGTACAGCACGCTGGAGACGGCAAAGGCGTAGAAGATGACGGGAACGCCGAAGCGGTCAATCAAGGGGCCCAGGCCCAGCGCGGATACGCCCCAGCCCACGGCGCCATAGACACGAAAGCGGCCGTAGTTGCTGAGCGGCACGCCGTGGTACTCCAGGGAGACGAGCGTGGTGTTGTCCAGGAGAGGGTTGACGCCCGCAGTGAGCAGCGCGCCTGCACCGATGACCAGGGCGATCTTGGCAAAGGTGGCCATGTAGAGCGCACAGAAAATGACCGCCGACCCCGTCACAAGGGACCAGAGCATGCAGGCCTTGTGGCGGCCCGTACAATCTGCGATGCTGGACCACACAGGTTGTCCGATCATTTGGGAGAATGGGTACACGGTTCCGATGATGATCCCGACCTCATGTGAATCCAAGTGCCTGTACGACAAGTACAGCACCAAGAAGTTGCTCACACAGCATCCCACCAAGCACTGCACACGAAACGATTTGTGTGTGTGTGTGTGTGTGTGTGTGTGTGTGTGTGTGTGTGTGTGTGTATGTGTGTGTGTGTGTGTGTGTGTGTGTGTGTGTGTGTGTGTGTGTGTGTGTGTGTGTGTGTGTGCAAGTGAGTGCTGTGTTGATTGCCATTGCAAGACAAAAAAGACAACTGTGCGTGCATGCACCCACAACTTCACACAACTTCACACAACTTCACACAACTTCACACAACTTCACACAACCTCACGCACACGTGCACGCTCGTACAGACCTGCACAAAGTAGATGGCGCGGATCAGGTGCAGCTCGTTTGATCGCTTCATCTTCATCTTCATCTTCCTTCCCCGAACACAAGCCACAACTGCCAACGACAACGTTCTTGTCTACCTTTGTCTGTCGTCTGTCGTGAGGACTATGCAACCCGACAGCACAAATTCAAACACAATCCAATTCTGCGAAGATATCAAACACTTTTCTGCATTCTGCTTGCAAGCAAGGCAGGGTTGTTGTTTGCTTGTTGTTTGCTTTGTTTTGTCGCATGCATGCATCGCTCCTCCTTTTTCCCCCTCAGCTTCCAAATCCATGCCACACCCATCGTGTGTGTGTCCTCCCACTGCCTCACCGCATCAGCAACAGCAACAACAACAAAAACAACAACACGAGGTCGCAGGTCCTCCTTGCCGTCTCACTGACAGACTGGTGTCCGTGAAGGCCGAGACACCAGGCCCTGAAAGGCGTCATTTTTCCTTCACTGACCCATTCACACGACAGAAACCCTGGAACCGAAACCATTCGAAAACGCACACACACACACACACACACACGCCATGTCTTCTCCGTCACTGGCCCAGCTGAGGCCGTGCTTCGTCTGGATGGTGGTGGTGGTGGTGCTTGTGGCACAGCTGCTGATCCTGGAAGTGGCGAGTGAGCCCCCACAAGGCTTTACAGACTATGAAAACACAGAATTTGGCAGTTTCGACTTCACCTGCCCTCAAAACTCCATCCTTGTTGGTTTCTACGCCGAACCAGTTGGCGTCAACGGTGATCGCAGGTGTGTATGTGTGTGTGTGTGTGTGTGTGTGTTTGTGTGTTTGTGTGTCTGTCTGTCTGTCTGTGTGTGTGTGTTGGGGAAGTTGGGCGTGGATACGTATCTGTTTGTGTTTTTGATGTGTGTGTGTGTGTGTGACAGCCACGTGTTCACCACTCAATCACGCCCGCACTTGCACGACGGTATAGATACGCCTTCAAATGTGACACGCATGCCGTCGTCGATGCTTCGGTGATGCCCAGGCAACCATCAAACCCTCGAGACACCGTAAACCAACTCTGTGATGACGGCCCCATGGTGTCGGTGACCTCCCAATACAACGGCCCGGCGCGGGTAAGGGCCCCCAAACACTCGCTTCTCTTCTTTATGCGCACAGCAAGCAAGCGCCCTAGTGGCTAAACCCTCCCTGATCAGCCTGTCTGTCATCCACTCATATGTGTTCGTGCGTGCGTGCGCGCGTTTGTCCCTCCCTCTCGCTTTCGCATGCCAGGATCGCCAATTTTTTGTCATGTGCGCCATCATCGACAGCAACATTTACAACATGAAGAACTGCAGGTGAGACAGCTCAGCTCGTGCAACCTCTGGCCTTGCCTCAAAGTCGTGTACTTGTTTGCTTTGCCAACAAAATCAAACTGAAGCTTCACTCACCTGCGGCATGCGTTGTGGTGCCGCTGGTATGCAGGACCGAGAACAACGGCAACTTCCTGAACACAGTCGGAGGCACGGTCAGCTTTGAAGCAGCAAGCGACCGCTACATCATCAAGTTGGAGTCACAGTATGATGGCGCAACCATGGACAGACGGTTCGTAGCACGATACACCCTGACTTTTGCGCCACGAGCGTCGGTGTTGTTGATCGTTGCGATGTGGATGGACTGCTCTGCTTCCTTGTTCTGCTTCCTTGTTCTTTTCTGCACTCACGCCTGTGTGTGTGTGTGTGTGTGTGGGTGTGTGGGTGTGCATGACATTTGCCTTGCTTCTGCACCATGATTCTGTACAGGTGGAAGATCGAGACGTGTGCACTGAGCTGCAAGAATGGAGTTGCCCTCACAGCCAGACACTGCCGTAAGCTGATGACCTGCCACACGACTGCGAGAGATATCGGTTCCTTTGTCCACATCACAGCAACGCACACGCACACACACACACACACACTCTCTCTCTCTCTCTCTCTCTCTCTCTCTCTCTCTCTCTCTCTCTCTCTCTCTCTCTCTCTCTCTCTCACTCTCATTCACACTCACTCGCACACTCTCTCATTCACACACACACACGCTCAATGCACGCTTGTAGCTTTTGATGCAAGTCGTATTCAGGTGACATACGATCACCCACCAGAAGTGGGCACGATGTCGACGTACACGTGCTCGGCTGATGGTTTGCAACCGACCATTGTGTTCCGGGGTGACGAGTACATAGGCAGTGATCCATCCTTTACGCCGAGCACCCTGTTTGAGGGCGACCTGCACATATCGTGCTACGTGGATGACCTGACGGGCCCCGTGCAGCGCGACTTTGAGTTTGCGGTGTGCCAGGTGTCGGAGCAGTGTGACACAGGCTTCTTCCTCAGCGGCGACTGCAGTGAAACGACACAGTCCGTCTGCAGCCCATGCACTGACTGTGCCATTGGGGAGCACGTGGTGCAATCGTGCACTCCCGAGCAACCGCGCACGTGCACCGCTTGCGAAGAGGGCAAGTTCTCTGTTGACATCAACCAGGACGGTTGCCAGGTTTGCAGAGTGTGCCCCGATGGCCAATATGCAACGGGCGAGTGCAGCGTGTCATCCAACACGCCGTGCGAAGATCACACGACCTGTGGCCTGGGCCGCTTTATATGCGATGCCGGCAACGCTTTCAAGGACAACGAGTGCTGCACTTGCACGGATGGCAAGTTCCAAGACAACCCAAGCATCTTTGCGGAAAAGTGCACACCTGTGAGCACGTGTCCTGCGGGAACGTACATTGAGGTTGCTGCCACTCCTTCGTCGAATGTCCAATGTGGCAGTTGCATGCCACCATTTCAATACTCGACCGAGGTGCGCGGTGGTGAACGTTTGCGTGTGTGTGGGGAGGGGGAGGGGATGCGCGTGCGTGTGTGTGCGCGTGTGTGTGTACCTGTCTCGTGTGTATCTGTCTCGTGTCTGTCTGTCTGTCTGTCTGTCTGTCTGTCTGTGAGTGATGTGTCTGTGTATGTATGTATGTCTGTCTGTCTGTCTGTCTGTCTGTCTGTTGTACTGACTCATGTGTCTGGTTGTGACAGTTGTGTGTTTATGCCTGGTGCCACTACTGAACCCCCAGTTCACGCCCGTCTCTCCCCCCCCCCTTTCTCTACCTCACCACCTTCGCTGCCCGAATGCACGCCTGCAGGAAAACCAGGAGGAGTGCATTGACACGCTTGTCTGCTCGTCCACGGAGGTGGAGACGGCTGCTCCGACATCCACCACGAACCGCGAGTGCGCACGTTGCAGCTCAGGCTATGCCGACCATGCCATCAGCACGACCGACTGCATCGCGTGGACAGAGTGCCTTCCAGGGGAGTATGAGGTTGCGCCTGCGACATTCTCCAGCGACCGCCAGTGCATGGGGTGCTCCGCGACAGAATGTCTGCCTGGCAGTTTCGCTTCCACCCTCTGTGGCGGCACGCACGACATTGAATGCGAGGAATGCACACCGTCATGTGACACATCGGAGTTCATTGCTGCGGAGTGCACGCCAACATCCGACATTCTGTGCCTGAATTGCAACGAGGCGGACTGCGACGATGGCCAGTTTGCGACGTGTGATGGTGTCGACGCCATTTGCACAACTTGCGTCAGGTGTGGGTTCGGCGAACTGGAGACAGCTCCCTGCACCATCTCCACGGACCGCGAGTGCCTCAGATGCTCCGGAGACGTGTGCCCACCCGACAAGTACCTCACTGGCGGGGACTGTGCCAACCCAACATGTACCAACTGCACGGTGTGTGACCCCGACACAGCGTACCAGTTTGCTGAATGCAGGCTGGAGGGCAGTCCTGTGGCGGACACCGTGTGCCTGTCACTGTCGACGTGCACATCTGGTGAATCGTTTGAGCTGCTTCCGCCCACGCCCACCTCAGACCGGAAGTGCGTCGGCCTGCTGTTTTGTGACCCTGATAGTGAGTTTGAACTCTTGCCGCCAACAGCGACGACCAATCGCGTCTGCGTCGAGTGCAGCCAGTGCCGCGACAATGAATACATCGGCACGCCCTGCACCCTGACGTCGGATACAGAGTGCAACCTGTGCTCCGTGTGCCCCGTTGGCTTTACTGAGACCAGGACATGCCAACACAACGTGAACACCCTCTGCGAAGGTGCGTGATGAATGTGTCTTTGTGTGTGTGTGTGTGTGTGTGTGTGTGTGTGTGTGTGTGTGTGTGTGTGTGTGTGTGTGTGTGTGTGAGGGGGGGATACTGCAACAGCTCACATTCGTTGTGCTTCTCCTTGCCTCTCTTCCCTGCACGTCAGATATCACAAAGCCTGTGATTGTCACAGACTCTACTCCCATCATTGTTGAGCTTGGGACAAACTACAACGGAGAAGGTACTCCTTTGTTTGTGTGCGTGCGTGTGTATGCGTCGTGTTGTGTACATATGCGTTGTTCGCGCTGGTGTTGCGTAAGGTGTTTTGACACTTTCACACACACGCAATGAACCTGTACGCACATTCACTCACGCATGCACACATACACACACACACACACACACAAAACTCACTCACACCCACTTACTCACTTTAACACACACCCTCACACACACACCCTCACACACACACCCGCACACGCACACACACACACACACACTCGCATGACTTGCTCTTCAGGCATCCGTGCGACGGATGCCGTGGACGGCGAGCTGCCTTTCTCAGTGGAAGGCCTTGATGTTCGACGCACGGGGTCCCAATCAGCCATGGTCGTGGCGACAGATGCAGCCGGCAACAGGGTGGAAGTGCTGGTCCCCTTCGTCATCCAGGACACCACGCCACCAAGCATCGCCACGAGCGTGCCAAGCCTGTACGTCGTACCCTTGTCCGAGCTCCCCGCGTTGCGATCCGGACGGCGACAGCTCTTCTCCTTTGCGGACTTTGATCTGCAGTCGACAAGCGTCACCCCAGCAGTGGAAACCCTCCCGCCAGGCACCCACGCTGTGTACGCCAGTGCGGCTGATGGCAGCGGCAACACGGCGCACGCGCTGGTGACCGTTGCCATCCCAGCGGACGACGAGAGCGCGTTTGTGTACACACAGCAGGACGTGCTTGTAAGCAAGGCGAACGTGACTGCGGGCCTTGCCACTGACGCGTTTGTGATTGGTGTGCAGACGCTCTTGAGCGAGATGCTGGCTGGGCAGGACGTGACCGTCGTGGTTGTGGATGAGCCCGAGGGTGGGCTGATCCAAGACGGCAACGGAAGCGGCGGCAATGCGCTGTCCAACGGCGGTGCAGATACCGAATCGAACGGCAGTGACGAAGGCACGGGTGGTGACCAGCGCACACGCAGGGCGCAGGCAGACCTGGTCGCAGTCACCATACTCATGGTGTTTTGGGACAACAGCACATTCGCCTGGCTGCCTCCTGAGGATGTGCTGGCGCTGTTGCAGTTTGACTCATTTTCCGTGCAAGGTGTGTATCTGTCTCTGTGTGTGCGTATCTGTCTGTGTGTGTGTGTGTGTGTCTGTGTAGCTTTGTATCATTGCCTGTGCGCGTTTGTATTTGCATGTATGCATGCATGCATGTGTGGGTGTCTGCCCTGCACGTGTTTGTGGTTCCTGGTGGACGCTCACGTTGCCTTTTATCCTCTGCTCTTGTTTTGGCTTTGGTTTCGACTCCACCTCCAACTCCAACCCGATTGTCAGGCGTCACGTTGTCGCTTTCACGGCTGCCGATTCAGGCCGGTCCTGCCACAACGACTGCGCCCAACATGACGACCACGGGTAGCTCCACGACCAACACAGCGGGCACACCGGCACCTTCGCAGTCTGGGCTGGCGTCTTCCCAGATCACCATCATTGGTGCGTGTGCTGCAGCACTCGTCGTGGGTGCCGTCATCGCTGTTGTTGTTATCCGCAAACGCCGCAACGCCAACGACGATGGCGCCCCCTCCAACAACAAGAAACGAAAGAAGAAGCACAGCGTACAGGTGTGTGTGCGTGTGTGCGTGTGTGCGTGTGTGTGTGTGTGTGTGTGTGTGTGTGTGTGTGTGTGTGTGTGTGTGTGTGTGTGTGTGGGCGGGTGGGTGTTTTTGGTGGTAGTGTGTGTGTGTGTGTGTGTGTGTGTGTGTGTGTGTAAAGTACCCGTGTGCTCTTGGTGCACATATGTCTGTTCTGTGTGTGCATGCACTTCTTCATGTCAAGTGTATGTTTTGTTCCTCCGTCTCTCTTCACCTTTCTCATCACCGCAATTGTGTGTTGTTCTTGGTATTGTGTGCTTGCATGCAGGCACCGGACAACACCGTGCACACGATACAGAACCCAGTGTATGAGCCTGAGCGAGGCAGCGCGTTGCTGACCTCTGGTTACGTGGAGCCGGATCGGGCAGACCAGCAAGGGGTGTACGCGGAGGCGGCGTTCCCATTTGGCGCACCAACCGGCGGTCAGCAGGGCGGGGACCGGTTTTATGAGGCGCCCGTGACATCGACCAAGGGCCTGCCACAGAAGCAGAGCAGCAACACAAAGGCTGTGCAACGCCAGCTGGAGTCAACCTATGTCGAGAGTCCCTTTGGCATGCAGGTGGAGTACGGCACGCTCATGTCCCCGCCAATCCTCGACAGCACCACCCACAACAACAACAACAACAACAGCAGCAGCAGCACCACAGATGGTGATGACGACTTGTACGAGCAGCCTGTGACAAATTCGGAGTATCTGGAGGTGGTTGAAGGCGACACCTTGACCGGCAGCGGCCAGCCACCCCAAGCCGAGTACGAGCAGCCAGATGGGTTTACAGACGCCAACTATGAAACTCTGGAAGAGTCACGCGGCAGATCTCTCATGGACAACATTTTCAAGTAGTCTGCGTTTGTGTTTGTGTGTGGTTGTGGCTGTGTTTGCGCGTATTGTGTGTGTGTATGTGTGTGTGTGTGTGTGTCTGTCTGTCTGTACAAAGCACTTGAGACTCTGACACTGGTTGGTCGGCCGTTTTCTTGACAATTTGTATATGTTGCATGGTTCTTGTGCCTGCCACATTGTTGTGGTGTCTCCCATCTCTGCCCGCGTTACCTGTGCATCGTGTGCACTGTGTGCAATGTGTGCATACTGCTGCTGTTATGTTACTCTCGTTTATCGCAATGAATGAACAGATGAATGCGCCATCCACAATATAACTCTCGTGCGCACACGAGCGTGAATCAACCAGGCGAAAAACATGACCGTGTGGGGATGTAACAGACAGACAGAGATAGAGAAAGGAGGGGGGGGTTGTGGTGTGGAGATAGGTTTGACAAATGCACCAAACACCAACAAGAGTCACAATGAAATGCAGTCAACCCCCCCACCCACCACACACACACAAATACACACACACACACACACACACTCACACACTCACACACACACACAAAAGAGAACACTGCACGCAGTTCCTACATCATGGCGGCAAACTCGTGCAGTTCGATGGTGCCGCTGCCATCAGCATCCACTTGCTTGATCATCTCAGTGCATTCTTCCTCCGTAAGCGCCTCACCTGGTGAGATTGCATGCAAGGAAGTGAGACAGTGAGTGTGTGTGTGTGTGTGTGTGTGTGTGTGTGTGTGTGGTGTGTGTGTGTGTGTGTGTGTGTGCGTCTGTGTGTGTGTGTGTGTGTGTGTGTGTGTGTGTGTGTGTAAGTCTGTGTGCGAATGCGCGCATCGAACAAATAAACGATGGTGCATGACCTTCTGTTTCACACTTGCAAACCCTCACCGAGTTTTGTGATCATGTATCTGAGCTCCTCCGTGGGGATGGATCCCTTGCCGTCCTTGTCAAAGACAACAAAGGCCTTCTCCAACTCCTCCTGCGTTGCCTTTGGCTTCTCCTCTTGCTGTTGTACAATGTCGCGAAATGTGCTAAGATCAATCGTGCCAGATCCATCGTAATCTGCCTCCGTGATATACCCCTGCACGTGGCGAGGCGCGTGTTTTGTTTGTTGTCACGGTGGATGTGGGTCGCACGCACGAAGAAGACAGTCATATAAGCAGCATGTGTGAACAACAAGCACCGAAGCAGGCATGAAAACACAAATACACATGTAAACACAAGTGCAAACACAAACACACAAGCACACAAACACACAAACACACATACGCACACAAGCACACAAACAAACACACAAACAAACACAAACACACAAACAAACACAAGCGCAAACACACACACTCAAACACAAACACACACAAACACACCTGCACGTCGACGTCGCTTGGGTTGAAGCCTAGGGCACGCAGTGCCGAGCCAATATTCTCGACGTGCATGCTTCCTGGCTCCTTGGAGTACACCAAGAACACCTCGTTCGCGTCCGCCAACGCAGACGACGACGACATGATGGATGGTGATACGAGACAACAACAGTAGTGGTTGTTGGTGGCTGGTTGTTTGGTTTGTGGAAAGTTATGGACATTTTCATCGAATCATCTACGGCTGCTTGCAGGCAAGGAAGTGCTGTTTTGTGGCGGGACACGAACGAAAGGAAGTCCCAGCCGACCAAACGTCAACTCGCCGATCGGTCATCATGTTCTTTGTCTGCCGTTCTTTGTTTGTCTTCGTTGTTGAAAGGAAGTCCCACGCCAGCCATCGATTCACACGCCAATCAGTCGTGCACTGGTGCCGCTTGGCTTGCTTCTTGGCTTGCTCGTTTTGTTCTACTAGGTTTGAAAACGATGTGCGCTTGGTGTTTTCTTCGTTCGTTGTCTGTGTGCTCACCTTCGCATCATCAGCACAAGCCCACATCCAGCGGATTGCTTCTGCTCTCTTTGTTGTTCTTCTGTGTTGTGATTGTGTTGGTGCCAGCCAGTGCCACTTTCCAATCGACGCATCTGTCCGCAACAAGCGCCACCTCAGCACACCGCGCCTCTGCAAACACAACCACCAGAGGACGATCGATCGACTCCCGCCATCATGAGCGCACCCAAGAAGCAATTCGTGACGGCCATGCGGACACCTGCCACCCGTGACCGCGACCACCACGTTCTTGAACAGCCTATCCCGGCCACGGACATGGACACTGCTGTCGCCGAGCAGGACCTCCCAACGTACGTGGGCTACCAGGTCCACCGCGGCTTCGAGCCATCTCTTCCACCCGCGCTCAAGGCCATGGTGGATGACGCCATGGCCCAAGACAGCGATGACTCCGACAGCGACAGCAGCAGTGACGACGACGACGACAGCAATGACAAGGGCAGCGAGAAGAAGGCCAAGGACAAGCCCGCCGCCGATTCACCCAAGCCAATGGACGAAAAGCTGCCACCACTGCCCCAGGTCCTCTCCCTGTGTGATGCGACGCTGCAGCACCTACACAATCTTCCAAACGATGTGGCGCGCGGCGTGTTTGTGGAGAAGCTGCTGGCCCGCCACATGGCCGTTCCCATCTGGGCACAACAGCTGTCGCCGAAGCACGCCGATGACAAGTACAAGCACCACGTCAGCGCGCTGCAGTTTGCCAACCTCGAGACCAAGACCACCCCACCCACCGTCAACACCTACACGGACAAGGGGTGCCTGCGCGTCGTGGTCATGTCCAAGTACGGCGCGGCCACCACGTCCACCCCGCAGCTGCTCAAGGACCTCTTCCACATCGACTCCCTGCACGAGAAAGACAAGAGAACGGACTTCACCGTCACCAAGCACCCTTCCTTGATGGAGGTTGGCGTCGGCTACCTCAAGGAGCCCGCCAAGGAGCTTGGCACGCGGCCAACAACGCACCCGTGCCTTGTGCTACACGTGATTGGCGACTACGAGGACCTGTGGCCTGGCTTTCTGCGCGATTTTGTCGATGTCGTCATCCTCGAGCACCCGGGCACGCCTGGCAAAGCCAAGGATGAGCCCATCTTCAACGCAAGCCTTGACAAGAAGCGCTGCTTTGCCTGGCATCCAAAGGCTGACGCGCATGATGCGCCCAAGAGCAAGAAGGACGACAACCACCACGTCGTGTGTGGCCAACTCCGCGATCCCAAGACAAACGAGAAGATGGTGAAGCGACTGGTGAAGGCAACAGCCAAACTTCAGGAGGAGTTTGGCCTGCAGCCCATGGACTCCTCCACGGCATCCACTGGCAGCAGTGGAACAAGCGGAAGCAGCCCTAGTACAGACACTCGTGCCCGCCTCACGCTGTTCGACCTGTGCCGAAAGAACACCGAGCTCTTTCCGCGGCTGCCACCATTTGCTGTCCTACCCGTGGTCGAGCATGACTTTTCCCAAGTACGTGGCAAAACGTTCGTGCTGCAGGAGAGCTTCAAGCGCGAGCGCGACGCCTCCGAGTCCAAGAACAGTCGAAGCAACGTGCAAAAGCGGGCTAAGAAGGATGAAGACGACATGTTCGATCAGGACATACAACAGCAGAGGGACTACCGGGGCGAAAATGCCCACTATCAGCTTGGCGTTCCGCTCGTGCAGCGGGTCATTCAAATTGCCAGCCAGCCACGAGCCAAGGACCGTGTTGTGGGCTTCCACATGCTCCAGCACGCCCTTGCCTTGAAGAGCTCCCAGCAACTCCAGCGCCTGGAAGAGGAGGTGGCCAGGCTCAAGAAAGCGTCCAACAAGAACCCCGACAATGAAGAGCTTCGCAAACAGTACTTGGACGCCAACGCCAGCATCAACGACTACAACGTCACCCTCGACCACATTTGGCGCGAGATTGGCCACATCTACGCGGCTGTAGACTGTGAAGTCGACCTGCCCAAGCTGGCCGCACAGCACATCCTGGACGGCTACCCACTGGAGCTGTTTGATGGCGATGCGCTGGGCGCCAACGAGGTCTGGGTTGGTGCTGTGCTGGGTCAGCTCGATGAGATTGTAACGTCGCTCGCCTGCCTCCCCCTGCCGCTCTCTCTCTCTCTCTCTCTCTCTCTCTCTCTCTCTCTCTCTCTCGGTCTCCCCGTTCCCTGCACCTTGCCCCGCTGTGTCCCATTGTTTTCCCTTCCTTGCCCTTCGCGGCACCGTACTGCCTTGCATGTTCTTTGTTCTCCTAATGTTTGATGTCATGTTTAGCCTGATTGACGTCATGTTTAACTCGTGAGTGTCGTATAGTAGCGTTTGCCTGTGTCGTGTCACGCCGTGCCCAGTGCCTCGGAACTGCTTGCCTCTCGGCGGCGATCCCGAGCCCTTGGCACGGTACCGTCATCAACTAAGATGACGGCACGACACATGCCTGCATGCTGTGTTACGTCTGTTGCCCTTGTCTCTTGTTTTCCCCCTTGCTTAACCACAAGCACCCCTCTTGTTGCCTGCTAGCACGTGTGTGTTGCCCTGCACCCTGTTGTCGCTTATCTCACGTGATTGTCTGTGCCTTGTTCAGTTCTTTTGTTCCCTGGTTTACTTCACATCAGTACACAGAACAAGCCACCGACACACCTCGACCACAGTCCCGTCACAGAGATGCTCAAAGCACAATGCCAGCAACAGCAGCAGCCAGGCGGCTACACTCATGATGTGAAGCCGCGAGTGATGGTGCACAGCATGTTTGGCCCGCAGAGCAGCGGCAAGTCCACCACCGCCAACCACATGTACGGCACGCGGCTCAAGGCTAGCGTTGGGCGCTGCACCATTGGCGTGAACATGCAGCTCATCCCCTGCAAGGGCCGGGAAGAGTACGACTACGTGCTGCTGCTGGACACGGAGGGCGTGCGCGCTCCCGAGTTCACGCACATGGAGAAGAGCAACCGCCGTGACGGCGTGTTTGCGCTCATCGCCTTCCTGCTCGCTGACACGACCACAGTGGTGATTCCATCCGAGAATGATCGCGTTGTGCGTGAGCTTCTGCCGATTGTGCTGGACGCGTACCGTGACTCCAAGATGGCCGAGGCTAAGGGTGGCCAGCTCTCCACCAAGGTGGTCTTTGTGTACAACAAGATGGACAGCGCCAACAAGGACAGGATGACTGCGCAGACGGAATCCCTGCAAACGTCGCTGCAAGAGGCGGAGGACAAGGTGTTGAACGGCGACAAGTACCTTTTCGCTGAGCTCAAGGCCATTGAGAAAGGTGGTAGCAGCGACGGCCCTGAGCAGAGCAGGCACGAAGACAAGAATGACCCGCCCCCTTCCACCCAACTGTTTACACGCGACCTCAAGTGTTCACTTGAGGACCCGATGCAGAGCGACGTACATGTGATTGGACAGCTGAAAACTGGCGACTATCCTCCTGACGACAAGCCGCAGGATGAATATGCCACAGCCATTCTGCAGCTGCGCCTGTACACCCACGACCGCGTGACTCAGCAGCCAAGATGGCAGGCGCGCAGCCTCCAAGACTTCAAGGCGCTCACCACGAAGGTGTGGGACTGCCTGGACGCCGCCCACTTCGCTGTGAGCTTCGTTAGCATCGTGGAGAAGCAAGCGTATGCGCGCATGACCATGGGCGTGACCCTGTACCAAAAGAAGCTGGCCAAGGTGTTCCGTGAGACGTTTGAAGGAATTGAGACACAGGTGCTGGCGAAGAGCGTGTCGGATGACGAGGAGTTGACAGAGGTGCAGATTATGGAACAGGCGGAGAAATGGTGGTGTGAGCTCGAGGGGGCTGCGTACCACAAGCAACAGTCAATCACAGGAGATGTGAGCACGTTTCTGACTGAGTTTGAGCAGTGGCAGCCGAGCCAGCTGCTGCGTTGGCAGGACTTTGTTGACCAACAACACAAACACTGGAAGGCGCTGCTCATCTCCTTGGTGGGGACGCATCTCGGGTCCGAGAAGAAGGAGAAGTCCATGCAGCAGCAGCTTCGGCAGGAGCTGAAGGCCCGGTTCTCCAAGTACAGCGGCCAGGACTGCTCCAAAGAGAAAGTGCGCGAAGAGTTCAACAAGTGGTTCAAGCCGCGGCTGGATGAAATTCGCCAGCAGCACCCTCCTGTAGCGGACTGCGTGCGTGAGAAGATGAAAAACGCATGTTGCGATTTCGCCGCGGGAGATAAGCAGCTAATTGAGGCGATGACTGCCGATGAGTCCTCCGTCAGGGCTGACCAGGTCATCGAGGCCCCCAAGGACGCCAAGACGCGTGAGCCCAAGCCATCGAAATGGGGAGCGTTCTTGGCCTTCTTTGCTCTCCGCCGCCGAGCGCCTTCAGATGGAGTGAACGCCCGCACGGTGATTGACGAGCTGGCACAGTCCGTGGTGGAGAGCGCCTTGGAAGGCCACAAGTGCTATTCGGACGACATCGTCTCGGATGCACTGCACTCTGCTCAAAAGCGCGCGGCGGAGTTACACATCAAGGGGACGTGGTTCCTGCGAGGTGTTTTGCACGCAGTTTGTGCAAAGCTTCAGCCGAGGTTGGTGAAGTTACAGCGGGCATGGGACAGGAAGCACAGTATACACCCGTCGGAGACAGACCGCGTGCATGAAAAGATGTTGGAGGCATGTTGCGATTTCGCCGCGGGAGATAAGCAGCTATTTG